GCCGGCTCGAGTACCTCTCGGCAGTCTACCCCGGCGTGCGGGGCCACGTCGGCGACTTGCGACTCGTCCGCATGAAGACGTCGCCTCCTCCCGCAAACAGCCCCCCCCACGCCCGGCCAGCAACCTGACCGCCACGCCGCGAGAGACTTGCATAGGCACCTCTTCCGCAAGGCCTACCGCCCGCGCCGCCTCACCCCCGCCAAGCGAAACGCCCTCCGCCGCACCACTGCGCTCGGCCCTGTCCGGCCGGCGGCGGAGGCGCCGCTCCGACCCACCACCAGCGCACCAGCCCACGCCCCACTCCCGCTACCCCTCCCCCGCGTGCCCCACCGCCTCGCGCCGCTCTGCAGCAGCCCCACCACCACCCGCCCGGCCCCGGAGCCACGGAGCGAGCTGCCGCCTCTCGAGTAGGTTCCCGCGGGCGCCAACGCCTTCAGAGAGGGGGAGCGACAGCTCGCGCGCTGGCGGGCAGACCTCGCGCGCGAGATTGAGAGCGAGAGGCGGGCGCCAAGAGGCATCCTCGGTGCTCACAGCGTCGGGCGCAACCACCCTGTCCGGCGGGTGCTGCCGCCGCAGACGGCCCCGCCTCTGGCCGCGCCCAGCAGGGCCGCCCCGTCTTGAGACACAGCTCACAGGAAGGATGCTCTCTCTCACACATTGTTTGTATGTTCTGTATACTGTCTGCCTGGGACGCGTTACGTTTCTTCGTGCAACATAAAACTCGCGCGTGGCCGGTGTGTGTGAGTGTGCGTGGGTGTGTCGTGCGCCGGGATGGCGCAGCGGAAACAAACAAAGATCCGGTGTGCGCGCGCAGCACCCGCCGCGGCCTCTCGCAGCTCGCCGTGGAGCGCAACTGGTGGAGCTTCAGCGTCAACCCGACGCCCATGGGCAAGCAGTTCATTGTCCAGCCCCAGTCCCAGTGGGAGAGGGACAGGGAGCGGCAGCAGGCCAAGGAGGGCAGTACCCCACCGCAGCCTGTGCCTGCTGCCACCTCCGCCGCGGCACCGCCCGCAGCACCGCCTGCCGCCGCTGCAGCTCCGGCCGCAGCACCGCAGGCACACCCGCAGCACCAACAGGTGCAGCAACCCCAGCCCAACGAGTCGCCCGAGGGGTGGACCAGGGTTGGGAAGGGCGGCATGCCGGACAGGTTCACCATGAGGAACCCTGGCCGCAAGCCGCCGGGCAAGGCGGTCAAGCGCAAGCCTGACCGCCAGCCCGCACCCAAGGGAGGTGGACCCCCACCCCCCTCTCCCAAGGTGAACAAGAACAGGCTGAGCGCGCTGGGCGCTGGCCCTTCTGGCACCAGCGGGAGCCACGAGCGCGCACCACCGCGCTCCCCCTCCCCCTCCTCGCCGCCTGCCAAATCACCGCGGCCGTCTGCGCCTGCTTCCGAGTATGACTCCGAGTTCGACTTTTCCGACGCTGAGGCGCAGGATAGGACGGCAGGGGTCGTACACGACGCAGTTCAGCAGGCTGTGATGCAATACGGCTATGACGACGAGCTCTTCCAGGCGTGGAGGGACGGCGAGATACGGCGAAAGGACTTGCCGGAGGAGGTGGTGGCTATGGCTTTGGACCTTTGCGAGAGGTGGCGAGCGGAGCAAGAGCGGTGTAGGCGCGTCCACGCGGCGCAGCGGCTCTCCCGCGACCCCGGCCCCTCTCGTAGCCGCAGCCGTAGCCGCAGCCCCAACTCTTGCCGCTCTTCCGTGTCGGGTTGTGACGAGGGGTGAGGGGACACGGATTGAAGTATGAAGATCCCTCACACCAAGATCGTGCAGGGCGGGGACACATGTCCCTAAATCCCATCTCGTCTCAGAGTTTGCCCGTTTTATTTATTTATTTATTTATTTTAGCACCCGCGGCGGCCGCGCTCTATCGACAGCGGCATGCGCTCTGCCGTTGCCGCGAGGCGAACTCCACGAAGCGTGCGAGCGGCGGCTGCTCGCGCAGCTTGTCCAGCGTGTTGAAGCGCTCGGCGAGCACCGCGTTGGGCGCGAACCGGTGGACGGTCGAGTGGCAGAAGCGGCAGAGCATGGCGCCGTACGAGTGCAGGAACTCGCGGCTCGGCTGCGGCGCCGGCCCCCCGTCACTCGCGGCCTCCGCGACGCCATGCGGGAGGCACTTGCCGAGGTAGCGGCTGTGCGTCGCCACAGGCACCAGGTGGTGGAAGGTGAGGGCGAGAGAGCGGCGGCAGAGCTCGCACTCGCCCTCCGCCTCGGCCGCATCCTCGTCATCGGCGATTTCCGCCAACGGCACCACCTTTGCTCGCGACGTCTCCTGCACCTTTTGCCACTCGACGAAGCGCACCAGCACGAGCGGTGCGCCTCGGCCAGACGGCGGAGGAATCAGCTTCACCACCCGCGCCTCGTGCCACTCCTCGTCCTCCTCCAGCACCGCCAGCACCGCGACGCCCTCCCTCAGAGGCGGCGGAGGAGGAGGCTCGTTGCACACCACCCTGTGCCGCCGGAGCGCGCCCAGCAGCTCTGTCGCGCCCGCCCTCTCGGCTGCATCGGCGCCAGCGTCCGCAACGTCAGCGTCCGCTACGTCGCCAAGCGGTACGCCGAAGTCGGAGCAGAGCTCCAGGAGCACGCCGATCCAAGCCTCGTCGCAGTCGGCGCGCCGCTCGCTGCCGTACTCGACGAGCGCGGCGGCAAACGAGTCGCGACTGTCTGCAGCGAGCTCAAGCCCTGCCTCGGTTGCGGCAGCGATAATGGCGCGGTGCTGCAGCTCCTCCGGCAGCCCCGCCATCAGCGTGAGCCAGACGCCCACTGCGGCGGGCTCTGCCGGCACACCACGCGCCTTCGCATGCTTGTGGCCGTAGAGCTGCTTCGGCATGCTACGGTCGGGGTTGCGCGAGGGAGGTGGGGGCCGTTGGCGATTGAGGGTCCAGGGAAGTGCCTCGGAAGCAAGCAGTTCGGAGACCCGACTGCGGGTAAAAAGAGAAAAAATTCACGGAATTTTGATGCGCGACGAGCGCGCTCGAGAGGCGGCCGCGGGCAACGCGGAGCTTCCGCCGGAGGACGACGCGGTCGAGATGGCGAGCGCCTACTGACACTAGTCACCATTCTTACAGTGGTGTAGCTTGCGCATCGGCTGCAGCCTCTGCTGGGGCGGAATGCGCGGAGTTTGCGGCGCGATGCCCTCGGCGAGTACACGCTACGTGTCTGCCGCAAGCTCTCCTGCGCGCGCGTGATGTGTGGGACGCGTGCGCTGCGCCTAACGTCGCGATTTGGCAATAGGCGCTCGAGCCGGCGCACAGCGGGCGGGGGGGTGCGCCGCGCAGGGGGGGTCGGGGGGTGCGAGAGGGGGCGTGGGTCGGGCGCGCACCGGCAGGCCCTGGGAACGGCCGTCACGTCGAGGAGGGGGGCTGTCGGTGGCTCGAGCGGCGAGGCGTGCCGCTCTGCTGCGCCGCGTCGACAGCCCCTCTTCCGAGCCTATATAACACATTAGACAGACCCCGGACACACACGAGCCGAGCGGAGGTGCGGAGCACGATCACCACCGATCAGTCGATCAGACGCTCAGAGAGGTCAGAGCCAGCGTGCAGCGAGAGAAGAGCGAGGGAGGTAAGCTTAAGGGAGCATGAGAAGGGGGGGGCGCGAAAACACACACACACTACACACAGGTCCGGCCACGACGAGTGTTTTGTGTTCTCTCTCGCGACGTGTGGTTCACAGTCCGAGTCCGAGTCGTGTGTGGATGTCAGTTAAAGTATCCGTACGCGACGAATGGCTGGTAATACTGGGGTACATTAGGAAGTCAGCGCCATACTGCCATACCAGGGAGCGACAAGGACTCACACTGCTGTGTAAAAAGGAACAGGTCCCCGCCAGGCGCGTGATACGCGAGTGTGGTCTGTACTAGGTTGTCTTTTAGCTTAAGGGATCTTAGGGATGGGAGAGGCGAGCGCCTCTCTCTCTCTCTCTCTCTCTCTCTCTCTCTCTCTCTCTCTGACGCTGCCCGGACAACGTACGTAAAGCGGCGGGACCTCTGTGATATTACACTGTGTGAAGTAAATAAGTATGAAGGCGAACACACAGTCAGAAGTCAGACCAACGACTGTATGTATGTATGTAGGAAGGTCAAGAACAGCCAGGCTGGGACTGGACACCAACGCGGTATGGGTGGACGCTGGACAGATGATGACGACACGCACGAGCGACACACAGACACAAACATCTGTGTCTTGATTTGCCAACAATATACCTACAACAAGACACACTAACGACGGGACGCAAGACGCCACACCCTCAAGAGAGTGTAAACCCACAGCAAACATGCACATGCTTCGCTTCGCAATCCTCGCCGCCGTTTGCGCTGCGCACGGCAGTTGCCTGTCCCGCGTGAGCTGGAGCCCGGCCACCTGGCAGCACCTGTACGCGCTGCTCGCTCGACCGGTGGCAGCTGACCACGGCAGGGCGCCCGTGGCAGCCTTCGACGCTGACGGCACCCTCTGGTCGGGCGACGCGTTTGGTGCGCTCGGCGCCGAGCTCGTTCGACGCGGCCTTGTCGACCGCGAGGCGTGCGAGCGCGTTGAGGTCGAGTACGGCCGCAGCCAAGGCGAGGAGCGGCGCAAGTGGCTGCTCGAGTCGCTGGCGCTCTTCCGTGGGCTCAGCGCGGAGGATCTGGTCGACGCGGGCGAGGAGGCGTGGGGCCGCGGCGACGGCGCAACGGGGCTGGGCGCCACCCTGCGGCCAGAGATGAGCGATCTCGTCAACCGGCTCCGATCGGGCGGCTGGCGGGTGCTCATAGTGACCGCTTCGCCGGCCGAGGCGGTGCTGCGCGGCGCGCAGGCGGGCCGGCACGAGCGAGCACTGCCTTGCGTGACACGGGCTTGGGAGGCTGTCCTGGTTGCAAGAGCGTAGGAGCTCGGCATCCCGGAGGGAGACGTGCCCCTCGTCTCGCCGACTGAGCTCTCGACCTGGCGGAGAGAGTTGTGGGCGCACGAGTCGGACGCTGTGAGCAGGTGCTCGGGGTGCGGCTCGAGTTCGACCCGGGCGGCCGGGCGACCGGGCTGCCCGCGCCGAGCATGCCGCTCACGTGGTGCGAGGGCAAGGCGGCCGCGCTGGACGCGTACGGCGTGGTCGGCGGTCGGCTCTGCCTCGCGGTGGGCAACTCGATGGACGACGTGCCGATGCTGCGCCGCGCGCAGGCGGACGATGCTGCCCGGGCTGCGGCCCGTGCTGCGAGTGTGAAGCAGCGCCTCCTGACGCCTCTTGATGTGGGCAGGCGGGCATACTGTGTGTCCCTCGCGGCAGTACGAGCGAGGACCGTTGGACGGGCGAGGCGGAGGGGGCGCAGCGCCTCGCGAGGGTGGCCTCCTCCGGGAGGTGGAGCCGCGCGCCCCTCGGCCGCCTCTCGCTGCAGCCGACGCCGTCTCTGCGTAGGTCGCGGCCGAGGAAGGCTTCTGGCTGCACGAGGCGACGCAGGGGCGGGAGGAGTACCTCCGGCTCGCGGCAGAGGCGGAGGCGAGCTGCGAAAGCTAGCAGCGCGGGCCGCGCGCGGTTGAGAGGGCTCACGTCTCAGTCGAAGGTCTCAGTGAGCGGCGCGGGCGCGTGCGCACGGACGATATGCTGCTCCTTGCACGCCGTAAGCAGTTTGCTAGAATGAGCACACGCACTGCGACATGTTTTCTCCAGAACTCCACACCCGCGGGCCTCCCCCGCGCCGCGGCGCCGCGCGGCGCGGACGGGACCGCGGTCCCCAGACCGCCAAGCCAGAGATGTGCCCCCCAGACCCTGCACGGCTTTAGCCCGCCACAGAGCCCTAGTCCCTAGACCCTTCCCACAGGCACAGCCACAGGCGCCCCGACCCTCCACAAGCTCCACCATCGCGGCCTCGGCACCGCCATGGTGAGACATGTTTTACATTTTTGACCACAAAAATAGAGGTGCGTAGGGTCTACGGAGTACACGTCTGCCGCATATCCTACATAATGATTAATGTGCGCAAGCCGCCACAACTGAATGGAACCGCAACCGGGGCGCGTGCACCTGCAGTCCTGCACGCCGAAGATACAATTTTACCCTCTCCCCCCCCACGGGCAATCGCACACTTCATGCGGGGTGGTGAGTGTCCAGCTAGCAGGCAGCAGCGCGGCGCACTCAGCGGCGCGCAGTGCGATACAAGCCGAGCGCGCTGCTTGCTGGCTAGGAGGCCCGCCCGCAGGCGAGATCCCGCACGGTGCGAGATGGGAGGGGAAGGGGGGGGGGGCAGGAGGCCAGGTCCGGGGAGAGGACGGGAGGAGGTGAGAGGAAGTTAGGGAGGGGGCGGAGGGGGGGGGAGGGGGGAAACGCCACCCGCACGACGTCGGGCGGCGTCCTCTACAGCCCGTCGACCGCCACGGTGTAGTCGTACTCGATGGTAGGGATGACGGAGGAGATGAACTTGAGGAAGAGGAAGAGGTACCTGGGGGGCGGGGGGCGGGGGGGGGAGTGGGGCAAGGCAAGAGAGGGAGAGGAGAGGGCAGGGGAAGAGAGGATAGAGGAGGAGAGGAGAGGAGAGGAGAGGAGAGGAGAGGAGAGGAGAGGAGAGGAGAGGAGAGGAGAGGAGAGGAGAGGAGAGGAGAGGAGAGGAGAGGAGAGGAGAGGAGAGGAGAGGAGAGGAGAGGAGAGGAGAGGAGAGGAGAGGAGAGAGGAGTATGAGGCCAGGAGCGAGGGGGGGGAGGCGCACTGCGGCGGCTTGGCCTCTCGCCCCGCGGACTGCAGCTCGGCGACAAGCTTGTGCATCACCGACGCGTGCTTGCCTGAGGAAAGAGGGAGGCGGGGTCAGCTTCTGCACACGCTTAAGGCAGGCTGCCCCGCGGCATTGCAACGGCGAGGCAGCGGCGGGCCCGCCCTGCCTCTCCCTCTTCTCGGCTAAGGAGAGGCGGACATGGGTGGATGCTCATGTGCAGCCCTGCCCCCTCGGCGATGTGCGGGTGCGACTCGAGGGTGACTGTCTTGAGGGCGTGGTCGGCGGAGACGTCCTCCAGCAGCTGCGCCTGTGCGGGAGGCAAGCCGAGCCGAGAGTGAGCGGGAGAGGGAGGGAGCGGGAGTGAGAGATCGAGAGAAGAGAGACAGAGAGACGAGAGACGAGAGAGGCAGACAGAGGCAGACAGAAGCCGCGCGCGCGTCTCTCCTGCGTGAGCGGCTGCCGCGACTCCGAGTAGCCGTACAGCCAGACGCGCCCTGACTGGTAGTACTTGTCGTAGGTGATGGTCACGTCGTACGTCCGCGTCTTGACGATGCCGCTGCCGCCGCCCAGCGCAGAAGGGTCGTCCGCCTCCACCATCCCTCCCATCTCCAGCTCCGCCTCCCCCGCCGCGCCGTCGGCGCCGCCCGCGTCCTCGCTGCCGCCGCCCGCCGCCGCGCCCGACGGTCCCGCGACGTCCATGTGGGCGACCGCGTCGGCGAGCATGTCGGGCGCCTCCTCCTGCCGCTCGACCTTGTGGTTCGCGTGCGTCAGCGACCAGCCCTCGTCCCCCTCCCCCTCGTCGCCGTCCACCAGCATCTCCGCGTCCGCACCCGACGCGAGGCTGGCGGCGCGGCGCTGGCACGGGACGCTGCGCGTGACGAGGTACTGCTTGTTCGGCGGGAGGAACGGGCGCGCCTTGTCCGGCTCGCCAGCCTGCCAGGACCACGTCGGGCAGCGCAGCACCAGCTGGTCGCCGGCCTCAACAAACTCGTCCGGAGTCAACACACCCTTCTCCAGGAACTGGGAGGTGGTGAGGACGGGGGTGAGGTACTCGGCCGTGCCGAGCATCGCGTTGCGGCCCATGTTCCAGAGCGCGCCGCTGTAGGTGGAGTGGCCGCCTGACATCGCTGATGAGAGGATGTGGAAGGGCCAGTGTCGGGCGGCAGCGGGCCGGCCAGAGAAAAGAAAACCATGCGGCAACTGAGGCCTATCGTGTGCGTCGCCCATCTCTCCCTGGAGATGACTGCTCTATTTATTTATTGCCGACACGACTGGTGGCGCCTCTCGCTCGCGCTGCACAACAGCAGAAGGACGTGCACACCGGCGTAGCATCATGGGCCCGTCCCTTGATTCTACAGCGCGCCCGCCTTGGCGTCGTCGTCCTCGACCCGCCAGAGGCGCAGCTTCCCGTCAACGCCGGCGCTCAGCACGCGCAGCGCGTCGTTCGAGTACTGCAGCGCCGTCGGCGGGGAGGGGCCGTGGCCGTGCGGGATCGTCTCGAGAGTGACCCCGCGGCCGACGTCAACGATGGAGGTGCCCGTCGCGGTGGCGCCCACGAGCCGCTTCGCAAAGGGCGAGAGGGCGACCCGCTCGAAGGGTGTTCCGTGCGGCGCCTTGCCGCGCCCGACCTCCGCCGGCTCGGCGTGCCGCAAGTCGGTGCGCACGACAGACCACTCGGCGTCGCGGGCGGCGACGGCGAGGTGGACGCAGTCCTGCGCGAAGCTCGCCGCCGTCACGCCGCGCGAATGCCCACCCACGCAAAAGACCTGCCTCAGGCCGGTGGGCTCGGCCGCGTCGCCGCCTCCTCCGCCGCGCGCCACCACCTCAAAGACCGGCACTTGGCCGTGCCGCACCGCGACCGCGCGGCCCGGCGCGAGCTGCGCCGTCGCCGCGACGGCCACGAGCTTCGAGTCCGCGGAGATGGACGCGCCCAAGACGGCCGCCTGCTTGGCCGTCTCGCGCGCGACCAGCGAGCCCGAGAGCGACCAGAGGCAGACGCTGTGCGGCGCGGCAAGGGGGGGAGGGCGAGGGTCAGGCAAGCGGGGGGCGGCGCCGGCGCGGGTCGCGGGTGAGGTCGCACCTGCGGTCGCCCTCGGAGCCGACCGTCACTATGTACTGCGAGTTTGGCGCCAAAATCGCGGCGCTCAGCGGCGCGGGGTGCACCGCCGCCGCGTCGAACTCCCGACGCAGCTGCAGCTTGGGCGAGAGCGAGTAGGCGAGGAGGCGGCGGCCGGCGGCCGTCGCGACGAGGACGTTGCGCCCGCTGGCAGAGATGGAGCATGCCGTGCCAAAGTCCAGGTGGACGTTGGCGATGAGCGGCGTCGGCAGCGGAGCGCCTAGGGACGACCAGCAGCAGTCTCGGGGCGGTCCAGGAGAGGACGAGCGGCACACGCTGCGGATCGCCTGAGCCCGCCTGCCGCAGGCCGCTGAAGACGCGCAGCGTACGGTCCGACGAGACGGCGGCCGCGAGAGCGCCGTCCTGCGAGAGCGCCGCGCCGGTGACGCCCTCGCTGAAGCCCTTGAGCGTGCAGAGCAGCCGCGGGTGGGAGAGCGGCGGCGGCGTAGGCCTCTTCTTCGGCCTCGCCGCCTCCGGACCCTTGGCCGCCGCAAGCGCAACCGCAGACGTCTCGCCGTCGCTCTCCTCCTCGCCCTCGCCCTCGCCCTCGCCCTCGTCGGCAGGGCGCAAGCGCAGCAGCTGCGACGGCACGGCAACAGCCGCCGCGGCCGCCCACCGCACCAGCCGCAGAGGCAGCAACAGCAGCCCTGCTACCGAGGCCAGACGGATGCGAGACGAGGCAGGCTCGTCCTCAAGGCGCAGCTCGCCCTCGCCGGTGACGACGCCGCCGCGCTTCTTGCGCTTGGCTGCGAGCTTCGCCGCCGCCTCCCTCTTTGCCCGCTGCCTCTCGCGCTTGGCCGCCTTGGCTTCGGCCGCGGCGGCGGTGGCAGCGGCGGAGCAGGCCGGCGCTGCGCTCTCCGTTCCGCCTCTGCGGCGGCAGCTGCTGCAGACTGTGCAGCGGAGGAGTCCGAGGAGCATCGCGCCGAGGCAGAGAGGCCCGAGCCAGCCGGCCAGCCTTCCCCAGTGTGCGTGGTTGCGCGTCGCGGCCACGTGCGGGTGGGCGATGGCAGCCTCGAGGAGAGGCTGCAGGTGCGGGTGGGACAGCGCAGCCGCGTAGGCGCGGGCGGCGAGGGCGGCTGACGAGTTGTGGGCAGCGCCGAGCATGGCGGTCGCCCTCTCCGCGTGCGGGTGCTGCAACGCCTCGGCGACAGACGCAGCCGCCGCTTCCAGCTGCGGGTGGCGCAGCGCGGTCGACACGAGATCGCTCGCCCTCGCCGCGATGTCGACGGCGACGGCGGCCGTGCTCGGGACTGCGATTGCCGCCGCGACCGCCGCAAGGAGAATGTGGGGCACTGCAGTGACCGAGACGGCGCGGCAAAAGCAGAGTGTGAGGAAAGTTGCGGCGAACATCCCCGAACAGGGCACAGCGTCTGGATGCGAGGCGATTTCGCTCACCCTCTCAGCGAGCGCCGCCGCCCCAGCCTCGCTCATCTGTGAGGCCTCCCTCTGGGCTCTCTGAGCCATCGTCGCGGCCCAGACCCACGCCGCGGTGAGCATCTCGCCTGCGCATAGGAGTGCGATTCGAGCAGTCGCAACGCAAATTTCCAGGCCTGCCCTCGCAAGCGTCTGCGCAGCCATCGCCATCGCATGCGCCGCGGCAGCGGCCGCCGCCCAAGGGTCCTCGGTCTCGCTACCGTCTCGCTCCATCGAAAAACGCTACCCGGGTACAGCTGTAGAGCTCGCGACAGCGGTGAGGTGTAGGCGCGCGGGCAGTTTTCTTTTTTAAGTGTCTCTACCAAGGTTTCTTATGACCGCGCAAGACGTATAAAGGGTGGCTCAGGGCTCTGCCCGCAAGGCGCCCGCGTCGCCGACGCGGTACCATTGACTAATCCCGGAATCACACCCACACGACTCCTCCGACACCCTCCAGGACGAGCTCCAGCGGAAGCTCGGCCTTTGGCTCTCCGCGGCGCTTCCCACCCTTCGGGTCGCGCTCGAGCGGGGCATGCCAGTCGATTTCTTCGGCGACTACCTTTACAACAAGGCCCACCACCGGCGGCCCCACGACGGCGTCCTCGCCGCCTGGGCGGACGCGATGCGCGCCCCGGCCAACGCGCCGGTCGTGCACGGCGACAAGGAGAAACCAGAGCTCACCCGGCAGTACAATGAGGGGTACAAGACTGACCTCGCAGAACCCCATGCGGGGCCAGGAGGATGCGATGAGGTGAATGAGATCAAGCTCTGGACGCCCCTCCTCAAGACCTCCTCGGCGGGCGTTGGCAACGCCTCGAGTGGCGGCACGCCCGCCTCCGTCGGCCACTCCTACGCCTTCGGCAACACCGAGGAGAAGGCCCGCCGCCTGAACATGGGCTGCAAGGCGCGCGGGCAGCCCAGCCAACCCTTCTCCCACAAGACCGGCCACGGCTACGTCAAGGCGCATCGCGGTTTCTACCACGACGCGATCTTTGTCAAGCGCAACAACTTCAACCTGCTGCTCCACGAGACGTTCGGCGGCGGCTTCTCGCCCACCGCCGTTCTCAAGCTGCGCCGCCTCCCGCGCAAAGTCGCGCGCGGCAGCGTTGACCGCACGGCCTACTCGCCCAAGTACTCGCTCTCTTTTATGTCCCACCATGCAGAGCGCATCTCTCTCTCTGTTGTGCGAGGCGTGAACCGCGCCATTCGCTCTCACCTGGCAACCCTGTCTGCACGTCTCGCGCGCGCGTGAACAGGGCTCCAGGCCCCAAATTACGTGTGAGTGTTAGAGTTGTTTGGTATTGAAAAATCTCTCTCACGACCAATAGCAACACAAAAACAACAAGCAGGGCTCCAGGCTGCCCCAAAGACGTGTGAGTGTTAGAGTTGTTTGGTATTGCTAAAAATCTCTCTCTCTCCCAATAGGAATAGCAAAATCCGAATACCGTGCAAAAACACCCGAATACCACGTTCGTTTCGCCCAGGGGTCACTTTCGGTCACACCCGACGACCTCGAAAACAAAAATTAGAGTTGTTTGGTATTGCTAAAAATCTCTCTCACGACCTCGAGAACTAGCCGGGGCAGTCGGAGAAGGGGCAACTCCGTGCACTGACGGTCGGCCGCCAGAAAACACTGCGTGGATCGCGTCACACCACTCCTCGCTACCCAACGCGGCCAAAGGATATCCACCTCGAGAACCTCGAGAAGGCTGTGAATACTCGAGCCGGGTTCGGTGCTATGTCGCGCTCGAGCAACAACCGCAAGCAGCCGCTCGACTACGGCACCGCGGCCGCCATCCGAGACCTGTGCGTGCACCAGGCGTGGCACGCGGTCAACCTGGCCAGCGGCGTGCCCTCCGACGCCAGGTGCGACGCCGAGGCGATGAACGAGTCAATCGAGCGGCTCGAGCACCTATCCACGCGGGCAATCGAGCACGCCAAGGAGCTGGCGAGCTCGTGCGCCTGGCACGCCGCGCTGCAGCGCATGGAGGAGGGCTACCTCGGCAGCGGCCGGGTTCCGGCCGCCTCGCCCTTCTCTTCGTCCGACGCGGCGGCCGAGGCGATCGAGCCGCTCAAGGTGGTGCACCGCACGCTGGCGCCCTCCAATGGGGACCTGTACGAGCTCGCCAGCGGCGCCGCGTGGTACGCCGCTAACGAGCGCTCTGGGCTCGAGGACGAGTCTGCTGCGAGCCTGGTCAGCATGTGCCGTGCGTTTGAGCGGCTCTACCGGCTGCAGCGCCGCCCGTGGCGCGGCGTCAACCTCGGCGGGTGGCTGCTGCTCGAGCGGGGCCCGTCGGCACCCTTCTACGAGGCGAACGGCATCGTCGGCGACGACGGAGAGTGGGACGCCACCGAGGCGCTAAGCCGAGACGGCGGCTCCGGCGCCGTCACCGCTCTCGCCTACCACCGGCAGAGGCACTTTCGGGAGGGCGATTTGGCCGAGATTGCGCGGCGCGGCTTCAACTCTGTCCGGCTCCCCTTCGGCTACTGGATCGTGACCGGACCGACGCACGGAGACCCGTACGTCGGCCCCTCGATCGAGCTCATCGACGCCGCCGTCGAGTGGGCCGCCCGGCACGGGCTGCAGGTCCTTCTCGACTTGCACGGCAACCCGGGCGGAGAGACGGAGGAGAAGGTCTGCGGCCGAGCGAAGCCGGACTGGAGCTGGGAGGACTGGAGGCGCGACGAGGCGCTCGAGGTGATCGCGCTCCTTGCCGATCGGTACAAGGAGTACGACCATGTGACCGGGCTGCAGGTTTGCAACGAGCCGTCGCGCAGCTGCCCGCCCTCGGAGCTGCTCGCCCACTACATCGAGGCGGTGGCGACGGTACGCGAGGCGGGCATGCCGCCCGAGCGGGTGTCGGTTGTCTGCCCGTGCTACTTCCTCGAAGAGGACCGGCGCGACTTTCTCAAGGAGTGGCGCGAGGCGTGCGCGGCCGGCGAGCTCGACGGTGCGGTGCTCGACATGCACCCGTACTTCTTCACTCCGTGGTCGAACGAGGTGACGAGAGGGCTCGTCTCGGACCAGGCGCGGGAGGAGGCAGAGTCGTGGGACTTGCTGCCCGCGTGCGTGGTCGGCGAGTTCTCTGCCGCGTTCCACACCTACCAGGGAGAGCCGTGCTGCGACCGCTCCGCCGAGGGGCGACAGTTGCTCAACGACTTTCTGCGCGTGCAGCAGGACGCGTACTCGCAGCATGCGACACACGGCCACTTTTACTGGACGTGGTCGGATGGGGCGGTGGGATGGTCGCGGCAGGCAGCGTACCTCGACGCTCCAGACGCGGTGCCAGAGGAGGACGAGGACGAGGAGGACGAGGAGGGCGAGGGGGAGGAAGAGGACGAGGAGGAGATGGACGAGGCAGAGGACGAGGAGGAGGAGGAGGAGGAGGAGGAGGACGAGGATATGGGCGAGGAAGGCGAGGAGGAGGAGGAGGATGGGGAGGAGGAGGAGGAGGAGGAGGAGGACGAGCAGATGCAGGAGGAGGAGGAGGAGGAGGAGGAGGAGGAGGAGGAGGAGGAGGAGGAGGAGGAGGAGGGGGAGGGGGAGGAGGAGGAAGAGGGCGAGGACGGCGAGGACGGCGAGGAGGAGGGCGAGGAGGAGGGCGAGGAGGAGGAGGAGGAGGGCGAGGAGGAGGAGGAGAGCGAGAGCGAGGACGGGCGCGGGCGTCGGGTGCGGCGATCTCGAGCCTCGTCCCGTGCCTCGTCGCCGTATGCCCTACGCACGAAGCGCCTCTCCGGCAGCTAGCGCCACGGCCTCTTCATGTCCCAGCGACTGGCGAGGGTCTCCGGCGCGGGCCACTGCGTCTGCCTCGCCCGCCGTGTTTCGCAAACCTCACGCGAGCCAACTGCGCGGCGACGCCAAGCTCTCCCGCCCGAGGGGGCCGCGCCTCGCTCCAGTGGGCGCGCCCCCGTGCTCCGGGTTGCGCTTGGGGCAAGTCTGGAAGTGCTCTATGGCTTGCTCTCCAGTCGTGACCGGCGTGCCGAGTGGATCGGCAGGGTCGGGGTGGGACCTGGCGCCGTGGAGCGTTGGATCGGCGGCAGCCAGTCGCCTGCCTCCGATCCCGCGCTCCTGCGGCCACCGCCGCGGCGCGAGTCTGACGCGTGGCAGGGGCCTGCCGTGGAAGCCTTGCCTTGGGGTTGACTCACGCGCTCCTGCGCTGAGGGTTCTCGCCTGAGAGCTCGAGGAGGCGCGCGCAGCAGCCGCCGGCCCGCCTCTCAGTTTGCACGCCGCCCAGCGAGTAGAGTACACAGAGTGCCTCTCGCTCTGTCGTCAGTTCCCGAACTCACGGTTATCACATGCACATGCACATGCACGTAAAGGGCAAAGCCGCGTACCGTACAGTGGGTAGTATTACACATTTTTTGAAGAGTTTCAGTTAACATCAAGGTGTTGCAGTGAAGAGTGATGCGAGTTGCGACACTGCGTGTCAATTTAATCTTTTCCCCTTTAGGAAGTTTAGCCTTTTCCCTCTTCGCACACACTGGTGTCGGTCCCCAGAGGCTCCAGCGTCCACCCGCCGGGACGGGACCCCCAGCCCGTGTGTGCAGTGTAGAGCGCGCTTTCCTGCGTGCCACAAGGCTGTGTGCGCAGTGTGTGTGTGTGTGTGTGTGTGTGTGTGTGTGTGTGTGTGTGTGTGTGTGTGTGTGTGTGTGTGTGTGTGTGTGTGTCATACATCGAGATCCTCTGCGGGACACCAGTAGATTTGTACATTTGTTTGTTGAGTGGAGATCGTAGATGCCGATCAGAGATCTTCCACACACAGCATCTCTCACAAAACTCAGAGTCCTTTAACTGAAGATAGAGATCTTGAGCTGCCGCCATCGTCACCTCGAGATCTCAGGCCGGAGACGGAGATGTTGACTTCGCGCCAAAGGCGCCTCGAGATCTCAGGCCGGAGACGGAGATGTTGACTTCGCGCCAAAGGCGCCTCGAGAATCGTGTGGCCGACTGGAGATTGCAAAATGGCGCGAAAAGAGGGGGGAGATCCGCTTGAAGGTGTGAAAGGAAAAGAGCACCCCCTTGGAAGGACGTCGATCCCCCCCCCTGACACGCCTCCCCCACGAGATTGGAGCAGATTGGAGATTGGAGACAGGAGATGGAGATCGGAGACCGCGCCTCCTTGTTATGAGCGCGCCGCGATGGAGCTCACCTCGTTAGTCTCTGGCATGACCGAGTTCGCCGCGAACCTGTATCCTCTAAAGACCGAGGAGGAGCTCGTGGCGCTCCTGAGTGGCATGCACCACTTCCCACCTGGCGTGCCTGAGCGTGCCCGTCGCGTCCATGAGCGGCTGCCCGCCGGGTCGGCACTCTGCTCCTCTGACGTCGGCGTGCTGATTGACCGGCTCGACACGGAGGGAGGCCTTGGCGGGTTGCACAAGCATCTCGCGCACACAAGGAGGACCCTCTACATTTCGTTCCGAGCACCAACACGGAGGCCGCGGAGCAGGCGTGTCGAGCCGCCCTCTCGCCCTGCACGCGTTGCCCCCTTGTCACATGTGATGTGCATGCACATGTGCATGTGCAAATCCGCCTGTATAGGCCTTCGTCTTTCTCGCTCGCTCGAAGCACATCTTCCGCCACAACGTGCCACATGAATGAGGCGTCCTCCCCCCCCCTCCCTCCCCCCCCCCACACACACACACAAAATTATTTGTTGATGGCAGCGCGAACCACACGATAACGCCCCCAGTTCGGCGTACACAGTCATAGACCGCGCGCGCAGCGCGCTCCGTGTTTGCATACCGCCCTGGCGGACTCGTTTACACTTCCTAGCTCAAGCCAGGCGCCCCGCAGGCCATAAAGAGGAGCGCAGATTAAAATGGCGCCGCAGGCTCCCCGGGCCGTCCGCGCACCAGTAACCTTTAAAAAACAAAAAGATCATCACAGCGGCCTCTGTGATCTCCAATCTCCAATCTCCAATCTCGATCTCCAATCTCGATCTCCAAACAATCTACCAAGCCAGACTGCTACTGCCTGCGATCTACTACTCTCTTGCAGAGATCTCGATTACTCCCACACAGCCATCCACATGGCCACACCCTCGAGCCGGGCATCTGATCGGCTAACCATCTGCCCGCGCGCATCGAGGGAACCAAAGGCCTTCATGTACACTTGCGACCGGATCTCGGCGGGCTGATCGGCAAGGTGGTGGGTCGGCCCGACTCCGATCCGAAGGAACGTGGGAGCCTCGACGGCCATGCCGTCCTTCTCGCCCTTCACCACGTGGTCGACCTTCGCCAGGGTCTGTGCGACGGCTTCGACCTTGTGGCGGAACCCGTCGCGTGGCGCCCCTGAGGCCTTGCTCCAGATCACCGACAGCTCGTCTCCGCCAGTGCGGTACACCACCCCCTTCATCTCCTCGGTACTAGCCTCCTTCACCACCGAGCTCAGCAGAGCGGCGTAGTGGTGGAGCGCGCCATCGCCTGCGACGTGGTCGATGGTGTCGTTCACGCCCTTGAAGCCCTGGATGTCGATCGAGAAGAACGCTGGATCGATGCAGATTTTTTGTCGTTTTGTGGAATAGACAAGGTACACATTTTCTACAACATGCACATGCACACGCACATGCTGCACATGTCACATGCAATGAGTAATCGTCTGGCAGGTACAGGTCGCTGTCACAGCATCTCCCTTGCGCCATTGGCACTCTTGTAGCTATTGTCCTCGTTTGGCGATGGAGCGTCGTCACACGCGCGGCACAGGCCAGCAATCATCTGCATGTCAAAGGGTGGCGGCGGCACGGACCACACGCGCACGTGCTTGCGTGCGAGCGGGTCGCGCTCGATGAGGCCGATGAGGGCGTTTGCAAAATCGGTCAACTCAAAGGCGAGCGACACCTCCGATGTGTCCACCGGCGCGCCCGCGGTCGCCGTGTTCGCGCTAGTCACGTCGTCGCGCAGCAGGCTCGCCAGGAGGGAGCGTGCGCTCACTAGAAGGCGGCACGGTCGCTGCGCACAGTTCATCGCGGCAGACACGTGGCGCTCCACGACACTGAAGGCATGCTCATTGAAGGCCTGGTCCTCCTCCGCCATCGCCTGCTCATCGAGCTCCTTCTGGTGGCGCCGGCGCTGATAGAGCGCGCCGACCGCCGTGGGGATGTCGAACATGCCATCCGGGTGCGGCGCCTGGGTGGGCGGCAGAAAGTTGACGGGCATCGGGCGGAAGCCCTGGTCGCCGATAATCGTGCCGCTTGGGCTGGCGAGCTTGCGGATCTCGCCGCGCAGATCCGCGTCGGGCAGATCGCGCGGGATGAGGATGTTGAGCGCGCATGAGCCTCGAAGCAACGCCTCATCCTTGCCGCCCAGCATGATTGGCAAAGTGGCAGCCGCGCTGCCCGGCGAGCGCTTCTTGCCGCCATCGATGGCGCGAACGATGGGCTGCACAAAGTTGAAGAAGTAGCCCATCGCGATGCCCGTGCCCGCCAGGCTGAGCGCGCGACGGTACTTACGCACGAGCGCCGCGACGTCCGCCTCCGGGTCATCCTCGAGCATGAAGAGACCGTTGATAAAGTGCACGGTGCCGATGATGAATGCGAGCTCGAACAGCTCGCCACGCGTAACCGGCTCCCTATAAGAGCGGAGGAGGCAGGCCAGCGCGAGCAACACGAGCGCGACAGCGGCGCGCGTCACGTCCTTGGCGCGCCGGGTGCCGAGCCCAAGCAGCGCGGCCCACGTGGCGAGCACAAAGGGCAGCAGCGTGGCCTCGAAGAGCATGAGACCGATGCTGCCCGTGAGTGCATGGAGAGCCTCATTGTCTTCCTCTGTACTGGCGCGGGGCGCCTTGCCCGCAAGCAGCCGGCCGTGCAGGGTGGCACAGTCGGTCGCACTGTCGGTCGCATTCACTTCCTGCATGGCGGCGGAAACGGCGTGCGCTGCTCCGCTCAACGCAAGCGCCGCAAACAGTGCAAAGTCGGCGATGCGCTTGGCGTCCCATTCGCCGACCGGTCGGGGCGCCTCCTTCAGCGGTGCTTTGAGCGCGTAGCATGCCCCAATTGGCACGGCGTCGTCGGCGTGTCGTGGGGGGCTGACGACGTTCATTGGTTGCATGTATTGCGGGCCCGATCCCTACCCGCCTTGGTGGGCCACGGCCTGCGCGGGCGAGTGTTGGGATTGTTTCTTTATTTCTCTTTGCATCTCTCTCTTTTCGCGCTTTATTTCTTAAAAACAGAAATCTTGTCTACACCGCCTCTCAACGCACACATCCCCGAAGCGAAAAGAAGAAAATCGGTTGCGCTAGCAAAGGAGGCGCGGCGGATCTCATGGGCGCGTGCGGTTCACGGAGTGTCGGCGCCGATATGCAAGAGGGTGAGCAGGTCACGCAGGAAGAGGGCAGCGAGCTTTCGTACGCGTTGCCTGTCGCGCACAAAGCGAACAAGCAGGGCATCGCTCTCTGCGACGCGTGCGCCGGCACGGACGTCGAGGCTGTTCGCCAGCTGCTGGATGCGGGCGCGCCTATCGACTACTGGGACGCAGACAACATGCCACCGCTCGCATCGGTGCTAACCGCGGCGCAGTACATGATGACGGAGATGCAGCTCGAAGGCACCTCCGCCGAAGAATGCAACTTCGCTGCGCGAGAGGCCATCTTCGCGCTGCTCATCGAGAAGAGCAGTCCTGCCGTGCTGGATCAGGTGTACTCTCTGGGCGACCCGTCGGACAACCTCAGTCTCCACTCGACCGCGTTGCACACCGCGTTCCAGGCCGGCTTCCTGGACGAGGCCAATCTGTTGATCGACCACGGCGCCTCCGGCAACATTCCAGCCAAGATGCTCCCAGACAAGGTTTTCACAGCCATCGAGTTGGTCATGAGTTCCGGGCCGCAAAGCCCGGAGTTCTTTGACACCTCCCAGCGGATCATGTGGCGACTGGACGGGTGGACGCCGCTGCACGCCGCTGCCGTGTGGGGCAAGACGGAGAAATTTATTGAGCTGCTCGAGGCTGGAGAGGTGGACACGCAGGCTCGCACGAAGACGCAGCAGCTGACGGCGATGGAGCTCGCCAAGCTCGGTGGGACTGACTTCGGGACCACCGGCAAGAACATGGAGGCGGTGTTGGAGACGTGGGAGGAGCAGCGGCTGGACGGGCTGACGAAGCTGCTGAACAAGGGAGCGTTCCTGGACGACGTAGCGAAGCTGGAAGCGCGCGGCATCGATCCAGCGTTCTTCTCGATCGACATCCAGGGCTTCAAGGGCGTGAACGACACCATCGACCACGTCGCAGGCGATGGCGCGCTCCACCACTACGCCGCTCTGCTGAGCTCGGTGGTGAAGGAGGCTAGTACCGAGGAGATGAAGGGGGTGGTGTACCGCACTGGCGGAGACGAGCTGTCGGTGATCTGGAGCAAGGCCTCAGGGGCGCCACGCGACGGGTTCCGCCACAAGGTCGAAGCCGTCGCACAGACCCTGGCGAAGGTCGACCACGTGGTGAAGGGCGAGAAGGACGGCATGGCCGTCGAGGCTCCCACGTTCCTTCGGATCGGAGTCGGGCCGACCCACCACCTTGCCGATCAGGCGGAGACCGAGATCCGGTCGCAAGTGTACATGAAGGCCTTTGGTTCCCTCGATGCGCGCGGGCAGATGGTTAGCCGATCAGATGCCCGGCTCGAGGGTGTGGCCATGTGGATGGCTGTGTGGGAGGGCGGCCCGGAGGCCGCGACGCCTGCACCTGCAGAAGCGGTGGTCGTGAAGGCCACTGATGACCAGGCTGACATCGCGGTTGACGGCGCCGATATGCAAGAGGGTGAGCAGGTCACGCAGGAAGAGGGCAGCGAGCTTTCGTACGCGTTGCCTGTCGCGCACAAGACGAACAGGCAGGGCATCGCTCTCTGCGACGCGTGCGCCGGCACGGACGTCGAGGCTGTTCGCCAGCTCCTCGATGCGGGCGCGCCTATCGACTACTGGGACGCAGACAACATGCCACCGCTCGCATCGGTGCTGACCGCGGCGCAGTACATGATGACGGAGATGCAGCTCGAAGGCACCTCCGCCGAAGAATGCAACTTCGCTGCGCGAGAGGCCATCTTCGCGCTGCTCATCGAGAAGAGCAGTCCTGCCGTGCTGGATCAGGTGTACTCTCTGGGCGACCCGTCGGACAACCTCAGTCTCCACTCGACCGCGTTGCACACCGCGTTCCAGGCCGGCTTCCTGGACGAGGCCAATCTGTTGATCGACCACGGCGCCTCCGGCAACATTCCAGCCAAGATGCTCCCAGACAAGGTTTTCACAGCCATCGAGTTGGTCATGAGTTCCGGGCCGCAAAGCCCGGAGTTCTTTGACACCTCCCAGCGGATCATGTGGCGACTGGACGGGTGGACGCCGCTGCACGCCGCTGCCGTGTGGGGCAAGACGGAGAAATTTATTGAGCTGCTCGAGGCTGGAGAGGTGGACACGCAGGCTCGCACGAAGACGCAGCAGCTGACGGCGATGGAGCTCGCCAAGCTCGGTGGGACTGACTTCGGGACCACCGGCAAGAACATGGAGGCGGTGTTGGAGACGTGGGAGGAGCAGCGGCTGGACGGGCTGACGAAGCTGCTGAACAAGGGAGCGTTCCTGGACGACGCAGCGAAGCTGGAAGCGCGCGGCATCGATCCAGCGTTCTTCTCGATCGACATCCAGGGCTTCAAGGGCGTGAACGACACCATCGACCACGTCGCAGGCGATGGCGCGCTCCACTACTACGCCGCTCTGCTGAGCTCGGTGGTGAAGGAGGCTAGTACCGAGGAGATGAAGGGGGTGGTGTACCGCACTGGCGGAGACGAGCTGTCGGTGATCTGGAGCAAGGCCTCAGGGGCGCCACGCGACGGGTTCCGCCACAAGGTCGAAGCCGTCGCACAGACCCTGGCGAAGGTCGACCACGTGGTGAAGGGCGAGAAGGACGGCATGGCCGTCGAGGCTCCCACGTTCCTTCGGATCGGAGTCGGGCCGACCCACCACCTTGCCGATCAGGCGGAGACCGAGATCCGGTCGCAAGTGTACATGAAGGCCTTTGGTTCCCTCGATGCGCGCGGGCAGATGGTTAGCCGATCAGATGCCCGGCTCGAGGGTGTGGCCATGTGGATGGCTGTGTGGGAGTAATCGAGATCTCTGCAAGAGAGTAGTAGATCGCAGGCAGTAGCAGTCTGGCTTGGTAGATTGTTTGGAGATCGAGATTGGAGATCGAGATTGGAGATTGGAGATTGGAGATCACAGAGGCCGCTGTGATGATCTTTTTGTTTTTTAAAGGTTACTGGTGCGCGGACGGCCCGGGGAGCCTGCGGCGCCATTTTAATCTGCGCTCCTCTTTATGGCCTGCGGGGCGCCTGGCTTGAGCTAGGAAGTGTAAACGAGTCCGCCAGGGCGGTATGCAAACACGGAGCGCGCTGCGCGCGCGGTCTATGACTGTGTACGCCGAACTGGGGGCGTTATCGTGTGGTTGGCGCTGCCATCAACAAATAATTTTGTGTGTGTGTGGGGGGGGGGGAGGGAGGGGGGGGGAGGACGCCTCATTCATGTGGCACGTTGTGGCGGAAGATGTGCTTCGAGCGAGCGAGAAAGACGAAGGCCTATACAGGCGGATTTGCACATGCACATGTGCATGCACATCACATGTGACAAGGGGGCAACGCGTGCAGGGCGAGAGGGCGGCTCGACACGCCTGCTCCGCGGCCTCCGTGTTGGTGCTCGGAACGAAATGTAGAGGGTCCTCCTTGTGTGCGCGAGATGCTTGTGCAACCCGCCAAGGCCTCCCTCCGTGTCGAGCCGGTCAATCAGCACGCCGACGTCAGAGAGGAGCAGAGTGCCGACCCGGCGGGCAGCCGCTCATGGACGCGACGGGCACGCTCAGGCACGCCAGGTGGGAAGTGGTGCATGCCACTCAGGAGCGCCACGAGCTCCTCCTCGGTCTTTAGAGGATACAGGTTCGCGGCGAACTCGGTCATGCCAGAGACTAACGAGGTGAGCTCCATCGCGGCGCGCTCATAACAAGGAGGCGCGGTCTCCGATCTCCATCTCCTGTCTCCAATCTCCAATCTGCTCCAATCTCGTGGGGGAGGCGTGTCAGGGGGGGGGATCGACGTCCTTCCAAGGGGGTGCTCTTTTCCTTTCACACCTTCAAGCGGATCTCCCCCCTCTTTTCGCGCCATTTTGCAATCTCCAGTCGGCCACACGATTCTCGAGGCGCCTTTGGCGCGAAGTCAACATCTCCGTCTCCGGCCTGAGATCTCGAGGTGCCGATGGCGGCAGCTCAAGATCTCTATCTTCAGTTAAAGATCTCTGAGTTTTGACTTTTGTGAGAGATGCTGTGTGTGGAAGATCTCTGATCGGCATCTACGATCTCCACTCAACAAATCTACTGGTGTCCCGCAGAGATCTCGATGTATGGCTGTGTCGGGAGGGCCACGAGGATCCCAAACGTGAGCTGTAGTGTGCAGCATGTTTTGGCTTTTGACTCTTTTGGTTTTGCTTCGATTTTCCGCGTCCCGGTGTTGCGGGTTGGTGCGGGAGCGGTTGGATGCTCCATATTTTACTGACGGCTCTGCCATATGACATATGTGAGAGCTTGCATTCGTGTGCATACTGGTGCGCCGCCGGCGCCACGATGGCAAACCGGTGTAGAGCGAAGTCGCCTCTATTTGTCACTCGCCATGCGCGTCCTTGGCTGACCCTCCAAAACTCCCTCCCCGCCGTTCGCGGCTCGGCTTGCGTATGCGGGTGGGAGCTTCGAGGACATGCAGGCGTCCCACCCCCTCCGGCCATCCCCCCGGCTCCCAAGCGCGCGGCCGCGACGCGCTGCGCACCCTCTTCCGCGCTGCACCCGCTCTTGGCACGGCCGTCGTCCGCCGAGATCACCTCCTCTTCGCGCCGCAGGTGCACAACCAAGGGCTGGCCACCTCCGTATCCATCATGATGAAGCCAATGGGCCAAAATCGGACTCCGCTCCCCGCCCAGGTGGCCGGAGGGTACACCTCGGGTCGGCGTGCTGGGGGGGGCGCCGGTGCGCAAGCCCACTTTCCGGGCGACCCCGAGGGGGAGGAGGCCGGGCGAGTGGCAGCAATTCACTGTTAGTGTCCCGGGCCGCTGCGGTACCGTTTATACGGCCCCTCGTGACGTCTTTCCGATTTTGCATTGTGAGTCGTCCTCTGGCCAGCCGAGGGGCACCAGAACGGCATGTGTACTGGTGCTGGGTGCGGGTGCGGAACGGGCTTTTTTTAACTCGCAACCAAGCATACTATACAAGGACACCCTCGGGGGGGACACTCGGCGCATGTGCGACGCGTCAGGGTGGAGTTGGCGGTGGCCGAGCGTCGTCTCCAGATCGACTCGCAGCGCGGAGTCGAGGGGTGAAGCGCGTCGCGCTGCGACACTCGAGAGCCGGCTGGATGCCGTAGGGCGCAGCCGACTTTGATGTCCTCGAAGGTCCGGTGCGCATTCGTCCTCTGAGACCCACGCGTACAGGAAAGGGGCGAGAACGAGGCCTTTTGAGGCGGACATTTTGGGGCGCGCATCCGCAAGCGCGTTCCACACAGTGGCAGCCGCCTATCTCGTGAGGGGCGTGGTTTGGGGCGGGTAGCTCCGGCCCAACCAATCCGGCCGCCGACGGGAGGGCGAGCAAAAGGGAGAGCACGCGCATGAGCCAAAATGTGCCCGTCGTCGCGGTATTGAACGTTCTCTACGACCCTCTCACCCGGTGTCGACCCGCGGCGCCCCTCCGCGGGGCGGCCCCGGTCGAACGGTGGGGCAGCGTGTACTCTGGTCACACGACCACAGCCCTTGGTGCTTGGAGATACCAACGCGCTATCCCAACACTGCTGCACTGGCTGCTGTGCTGCCGCACTGGCTGCTGTTGCACCTGAGCCGCGAAGGCAAGCCGTGCGACCGCGGCCGCAGGAGCAGGCGGACATCGCGCTTCCAGCACACGTGAGAATATCGCCGCTAAGATGGCCCATCTCGAGTACGTCGTCGGCAGCGCGGATGCTCGCCCGCACGGCCCGCCGTCGGTCGTGGTCTCGTCTTATTCTGGCGAGTAGAGGCCCCGCCCACCCAGGGTACCCCTCTCGAGGGCTCGCCGGGGCTCTGCTCCAAGAGACCTCGAGAGAGCGTGCGTGTGCCTCTACTCGCCAGCGTCTTATTTCTGTGTCAGTGCCAAAAAAGAAAGAAAACAGACAACCCAAGGGAGGGATGGGAGGACCGTGGTAGCAGGTTATTTTTTCTTTCGGGTCGGGTCGGGTTGGGGCGGGGTTGCTCGGCCTCGGGTCGGGGTGGGGCGGGGTTGTGGGCTAAAATAACAAACCCTATCTCACCGGTTATCGATGGAAACATCCGAGAGAATTCTTCGTGGCTTTGTGAGGAAAAAAGGTAAGCCTCCCGATCATTTTACTCCCCTTGGCGAACCGTGTTCCCAATTTGAAATGGTCCGCCACCCGCCAAGATCCATACGTACTCTTCCTGTATTCCTGCAACGGGCTCGCCGCATTTAAAAACTTTGTGAATAACACTTGTTTCAGCTACCAGGCGCCGCTCCCATTTAACCTTTTTGGGGACTGCTTATCTCAGACCCTTTGCCCCCCTTTCCTTTTCCTGGCCAACCTCTTGCTTCAAAAA